TTGTCATAAATGCATTTAAACATAACCTTTCTCCTTCCCATCTTGTGTTTAATAGAATTTTGCAAACTAATTCTTCTGTTTCTGCTTTACAACTGGGGAAACTGGAGTGGACAGATTAAATTGCTGCTGCTCATCAGATGGAATCCTGGGTGTTCCTGGTTCCCAGTGCTGTGTGCAGAGCATCACTTTCTCAGGAACTGAAATTTTAGATAGCAGTTAAATATTTGATTAGTAAATTATTTATTTTCAGATCACTTCCATGTGTTCGTTGGGGATTTAAGTCCAGAAATAACAACAGAAGACATCAAGTCAGCATTTGCTCCTTTTGGTAAAATATCGTAAGTATCATAATAAACATTTCCAATATCAGTTAGAAAATATGACAGTAAAAATTTGTTTGAGTTGAAATGTTATTTCTTGTCTTTTTAGAGAATTTTTCTGATGTTAATTGTCTTATGTTGGGTGGGCAGTAAAGAGGGGTTATTGTTTCATCTCAGTATCTATCATGATTATAAATATAGTAATGTAATTGTTCTCTGGTTTTGCTGAAAGCAATGTGCTTTTAACCTAATTTATATGCTAATGTCCTTCGACTTTTTACTAAAATTTAATTACTGTTCCTAAGTATGACTTTTTGTTGTTCAGAATGTGTACAGAATAGTGACTTGACAAGTGGTATATGTTGCAATCTGCATGTATTTTGTATGCATTCATACTGCATTTTATAGGCAGTATAGAAAATTGGTCAATTAAAATATAATTATATGAAGCAACTAGTTGAATAACTTGTGAGTGTTTTGAAAAAAAAATAATACTTATGAGAATTAAATCTACTTTTTTAGATGGTAACGGGGGTGAATTAAGATTATAATATTTAAATGAAAGAATGGTGGATTTACAATATGTGCACATTTCTGCCAGTTAAGAGAATGTTTCTTTAAACTTCTCATAGATAATTCAGGTGATATCAGATCACCTGGTGTTATAATTGAACGTATTTATTGTTACAAGAATCCTTGTGAGTGCTAAAGTATGCATGTCCTTAAGAGTACTGCTACAAAAAAGTCTGTTAATCTTCTATCAGTTTATCTTTATAAAAATCCTTTAAAGTTGCACATGAATGTTTTTGTACTATTTTACAGGAATATATTTCTAAGAACAAAATTCTTATTTTTCTCTTGTTCTGTACTCATATTTTTAAATGAATCATAAATCTTATTTCTTACCTCTGCTATTTTGTTTATTTTGCTTTTTGTCTCTTAATGTGGTAAGTAGTACTGTTTAAAAATCAATTTAAAGAGAATAATTCAGGTTTCTGTTTCTCAATCTATATTTATACCTGAGACCTGCAGTTTTTCTAAAGTCCAAGTCACAATTAAAAGTAATAGCATTCTGGTTATTTTGCAGAATTGCTCATAAGAATGGACAGGATCTTGAAGGCTAACTGCAAGGAACTGTGCACACTGGAACTCAGTTGTAGATTTTTTCTCATTTCTATTTATTCTTATTATACATTATTTATATATACATATTTTAGTATTTACATTTTAACATTCTATATTCAGTGCAGTTCTATATTTCCAATCATTTTAACTTACTCACTAAAATTTCTGTGTAAATTTGTTGTTTTCGTACTGGTGTGCTTAGCATTGTTGTTAGTTTTATTCTCCTTTCTTAAATTTCTGAAAATGTCAATTTTTCAAAATTTACAGCTGCCCAAACTCCAAAATGATGGTAGAGAATTGACCAAGAAAAATAAAGAAATCTGTTAACAGGCCATGTATGCCTTTTAATTCCTATTTTTTCCTCTTTTTCGATTTTTTTAATATTTCATATATTTTGTATCACTAGGCAGAAGACATTTAACTATTTAGAAAATGCATGGTAATTAGATAGAATTGTTACAGTAATTTATAGAACAGTAAACCTTAGAGGACCCTAGCCAATAGAATATTAGAAAAGGAAACTTTGTTTCTCTTATACTTCAAATTTGAACATTCTAGTTTTAGCCAGTATAGGTTATGTGGATAGGTTGCATGTTTATTACATGTTATTTTTTTTGTCCTACTGCTTTTTTCTAACAGGTAAAGAAGCAATAGGGAGAGGTCAGGAATGACTGTAGTTTTAGGGCTAACTGAATTTATAAGAAAAAAATTATGCTCACAATACAGTGTGTGTGGTTCCTTTTAGTTTTTATTTTGCAGGTTATTAATATTACCCTCATATAGCTGTGCTTCTTTTCACAGGGATGCACGGGTAGTTAAAGACATGGCAACTGGAAAGTCAAAAGGCTATGGTTTTGTATCTTTTTATAACAAACTGGTGAGTAATCACAACGTAGATTTAAAATATTTTCCACTTCTAGTTTTGCCTTTTTGTTTATACATTCACAATGTATCAGACTTTCCCAAGGGAAATAAATTTGCCTGTACAGGACAAATTTACTTCAATGAAAAACTTCAGTTATTTGTGGTTAAGGGTTGAAACAATTCCGATGACAGCGATGCTGTGAGAACATTGTGAAAAAAGATTCGAGACCATTGTGAAAGAGGATTCCTGAACATGGGAAGCTTGTTTGGGTGTGTTAGGGTAGTTTAGCTTAGTCTGTGGAATCATCTCTCCTACAGTGAGTTGGGTGCCCGGTCCGATCAGTAGTGCTTTGGGCTGCTTAGCTGGGACACTGCGCCAGGTCCAGTGCGGTCCTGTATGTTAAGGTAGGAGCCCCTGCAAAATGACGTCCAGGAGCCCGCAGTCCAAAGGAGTGCAGTGCCACGCCACACAGCAGGGTTTGGCGTTTGCCAGGTTTAGGTTCATGCCAAAGCTCAATCTTTCTGGGGACCTAATGCAGCCAGTGTGTCATAAATCCAGCCACACTTCAGTGTATTTGCTTGTGCTTTGCATCTCAGTAAAGTTCTTGGTTGGTCCTTTGCTTGAGTTGTTATAATGTTTTGAAATCTGAGATGGTTCTTTGTATTGAGTGATTAATTTGCAGCCAAGAGTTGATTCTGTACTTCTAAAGCATTTTGCTTATGCATATTGTAAAACTGAAGGTTGTTCTTGGTTTTGTATTGTGTTGGTGTTACTACATGATGGATAATATTATGTATGTTTAGGAAAAAATGCTTCTGACAGGTGACTAGTACGCTTTCTGATACAGATACTAAAGATGTTACTTGTAGAACTTAGTGTAGTGCTGATAAGAATAGTGCTATGCCCTACTACTTATAATAATACAATTGACTCAACAAATAATTCTTGATGATTTTGAAGTTAAATAAATGTTCGACAGTGTAAGAAATTTGTGAAAATCATTTGGAAAATTGAGCTGTATGTGTTTAGAGGTAATGTTTAGGATAACATCGGGAAACTGTGTAAACAGTTTTCTGTAAATATTTTCCATAGGAAAAACACACACGGTTATGGATTTTAGGCATATACGCCTGTTTGTGTGGTCAGAAGTCCTACATGTCAAGACTCTTTCTGTCTTCTGTAACAGTTATATGGAGCTGGATCTTAATGAGAAGAAAAAGTTCGAATTTCTTCAGATTTGCAAATGCCATAAGATACTATAATTGAATGCCTTGATTTAGTGTATTTTTGCATTTACATTTTGTTTATTTTAAACAAGAGGAATAGATGTCCTATTCCTTGTACACCTCTTCCCTTATCGTATGGTTATGTTTGGTTTCTGTGACCATAGGGGAAATGCTGTAACAATCATACGGAATTCAGGTTACTGGATTCTTTTAAGACTGAGCCATGAAAATTGCAATTTAAAAATCTTTATCCATTCTGCAAAATTAATGGATGAATGCTAAATGTAATGCTAAAAAGCACTTCTAAAATTTATGTCCTGATTGCTGTTCATTGAGACAGAGCTGCACCTACAGGGTTATGGCATGACTATCCTGCGCTGGTAGTTTAAGGCTGGTTTTTTTTTTTTTTAATTTATTGTCATCCTGCTAGGTTGAGGGAAGTGGGATATGTTCCCAGACTTCAGGTATTCCAGCCTGAAGTTAGGAGGCACACCACAGTTAGGAGAAAATTGAAGTGGAACAGTTATGGCATGGACTCTGTTCCATTTTTGCCATAGCTATGATTCTCAAGACTGGCAGCAAGATTCCTTAGAGCTAGTTTCCTTTCCTAGTCAGTTTGTAACTTACTCATGTTTTGAGAGTGAGGATGTTTGAATAAGTTTTTTGCTGTCTGGTGTTTTGTTTGTCTTTTTTTTCCTTACTGGTCATCTGTCATAATTTCTTTTTTGTCTTTATATATTGTCTTCAAAATGAGCACTCTAATTAGAACTTAGGAGGATCAAGTTTTGGATTTGAGTTTGAGATGGAGACGAGTCTGTTAGAGCTGGAAGCCTTTGGTGTGAGGCAGGACAATGCTAGGTGCTCACCTTTAACTTGACCATATGTTCTCTATGTGCTTGGTGTTTTCTTTCTTAAGCTTTGTACCCTTGGAAAAGCATTTCAAACATGTACTATTTGTTCTGCCTCTCCTCTTTCAAAGCAATTGGGGGAAATACTGCTGCTTGCAAGTATTAGCAAACTTAGCTGTAGCTTACTACATGTTTCTGCTTCCAGTGTGAACTTAAAGATTGTCTTCTAATTCATGCTCAAGATAAGAAGTTAAGCCATGTGGGCCATGGTTTCTTGTGTGTGTTCATACAATGACTTTAATATTTAGAGAACTTAACAAAGCAGTTGATGCTCAGACTTAAATTGCTTGCCTCCAGAGGGCAGAAGAGAGTATGGGACAGGGGGTTGTGCAAATAGTAAATAAAAGGAAATTTATATGCTCAGTCTATTTGTATCTCAGCATTACAGTTTCTTAGTAACTACCGCTCAGCCTTCCCAGAACTTATGATTTTCCTAGCTAAACTTGGCCTATTATGTTGAGTGCATATGAAGAGTCTGAAAAAGCACATTCAGACCTTACTATACAATGTCTTTTGCAAATACATACTGCATGGTCTAAACGTTACTTGGGTTACATCTGAGAAATTTTTCAGTGAGGGATTTTGATGATTAAAAAGTCTTTCTTGACTTTTCATCTGCTACTATTAAATATACTTTTGTGTATTGTATTTTTAACACAGTCAATTGGCAAAATAATTCAATTTTTTTAATGTATATAATGAAAAATAAAGTTGTTTTATTTCAGTAATTGCTTCCAGCATCTGTATGACCTTTGTACTTTTTTGGGCAGCCTTCAAATATTCTAATACAGATGCTTGTTGTGTAAAGGTAGAATATGTATGATTGTAGTTGGCTTCTGACCTGTGTGTAGAAAATGGGGGTGGGAGGAAGTTTTTAACAAATCACTTGTGAGGGCCTTCTGTGTAATCGATTGGCTTTGTTACTTCATTTTTGGCTGCTTGCTGTGGTGGTTCAGAAGTTCGTATTCTTTTTAGTACTCTTACTGGTTTTGTCAACAGAATTAACTGATGACCAAGTCTTTCTTAGAAGCAGACTTGTACATACTTCTTGTTTGGATGTGTTACAGTCTTTATTTTAATCTCTTTAGGATGCAGAAAATGCTATTGTACACATGGGAGGCCAGTGGTTGGGAGGCCGTCAGATCAGAACTAACTGGGCAACACGGAAACCACCAGCACCCAAAAGTACACAAGAAAGTAAGACCTTCATGTAATGCTGTGTTGTGTTTGCTGTCTTGCACGTCACTGTTCAGTGGAGAAATAAAACATAATGTTGCCAAAGTCACATAACTTCATTCCATATCTAGCTTGACTTCCAGATCTTAAAGAACAGAATTTTTTGGTATATTATATTGACGTAGTGGTGGCACTACTGGTCTATCATAAAATATTTAATGTCTTTGTTAAATACATAATTGATACTTGGGTATGAGGTAAGTATCTGTGACTCTGTGGTTCCTGTTAGCCTTACTGCTTAAAAACAGCCTTCTCTCTTCATAGATAATACAAAACAATTGAGATTTGAAGATGTAGTAAATCAGTCAAGTCCAAAAAATTGTACTGTGTACTGTGGAGGAATTGCCTCTGGGCTAACAGGTATGATTTGGTTTAATGCTTTTTTTATTATTGAAGCTTTTTGGACACCAAGATGGTTACTAATTAAAAAACATTTTATTTTGTAGATCAACTTATGAGACAGACTTTTTCACCATTTGGACAAATTATGGAAATAAGGGTGTTTCCAGAAAAAGGTTACTCATTTGTCAGGTATGGACAGAGGGAAAATAAAATCTCTAATTTCCTTAACGTAGTAAAGTTTCATCTTTCTGTAATTTCACTTGATTGAACTTCTGGTATGTTAAAAGCTGTCACCATATGTTCATAGAAAAATTTGGAACTTTTAAAAGTGACCGCCAATCTTTTTACCTGAGCAGATCAGTATCTGTGAAAGCAGATCTTTTTTTCCTCTGGATTTCCTGTATGTATGGAGTCACTGTTCTTCAACAGTCAGATGAAAGTACTATAAAGCCTAACATTAGTTTGTTTTTGCATTCTTTAGATTTTCAACCCATGAAAGTGCAGCACATGCTATCGTTTCAGTTAATGGAACCACGATTGAAGGACATGTTGTTAAATGTTACTGGGGCAAAGAATCCCCTGATATGACTAAAAACTTCCAACAGGTAACTGCACTTTTAACCTTTTCATTGTATCACAAAAGCAATTGTGTATATGCCTGTAATGCCTTTCCCAGTTAGAATAGCTAAATTTTTAGGTAGTGTCCTTATGAAATTCCATGTTCTGTCTCAGTTATGTTCCAGTTGTTCATCAACTTGGGCTAGTAATTTTGATGGAATATCTGTTACTGTCTTCTGGATATGATTCAAGATAGGGAGAAACTTTGAGGTAATTCTGATTCTTGCTAATTCACTAACTGCAGACTAGGTGACTATCCAACCCAATATTCTTTGGCATTTCAGACACCAACAAACATGTTTTTCAGTAACAAGGATCTAATTAAGTCACAGTGATGTCTTAATCATTTTTCTGTCTCATCATTGCTTGTTTTAGCCTTGTGATTGATATAAGCAAAAATTTTGCCTTCAGCAGCACAAAAGGGAACATTATCCACTTCTAGAACCTGAAGTACTATGAATTATTGTCTCCTTAGGTGGATTACAGTCAGTGGGGGCAATGGAGCCAAGTATATGGAAATCCACAACAGTATGGGCAATATATGGCTAATGGGTGGCAAGTACCATCATATGGAATGTATGGCCAAGCATGGAATCAACAGGGTTTTGGAGTAGAGTGAGTAATTGTATTTAATTTTTTAGAATGTTGTATCTTAAGTTTCAGACTCATTTGGTTCAAGGATTACACAGGGTTTCAAGCCTTAGGTGGACTCCTACATGCTTAAAGCTTATGTTTAATGATTACCATGGACCAAATACTGGGGTGAGTTACTCTGGCTTGTACTTGATCACACCTTTTACGTGTCTGGGTGTTTTTAGACTCAAGGCACAAAGACTTCCTCTATGGTAGAGTTTCAGATGGTGGTCTTGGATCTAAAAATTTTCTGGATTCTGACTTGAGGTGGTGAATCTGAGGTGGAGAGTCTGAGCCTCAAGTCTGAGCCAGGGAGCCCAGGTATTTGCCTAAAGGGTTCATAACTCTGGAGAGAAAAAAACTGCATACTAACATTTTAACTTATGCAGTTTCAGAATTTGGGTGGGCTTTTAATACTTGATCTCTTGAAGACTGAAGTCTTCACAACAACTTCTGGCTTTAACATGCTTTTAAAATAACTTTTTTGTTTACATAATTCTTCATTATCTCTTGCTAATTAAGCGTATTAAGCCCGGATAAGCCTATCACTGGTATTCGTGCCAGCTAGGCATTGGGAATTTTTTGCATTTCTGCATCACTGATGTTGACTTATAGCCACCTGCGTATATACATGTCTTTGGAGGCGGTTGTCGTATGCAACTAGTACCCAAGGTTTGTGGGGCTGCTTTTTTTTTTTCCTGTGTTCTTAAAAAGATGATGATATTTTCAAGAATTACATGATGTAGCACTTAACCTGAATTACTCATTAAAGAGAAGAAGAAATTTTCTATTTTGGTATGAATAGTAGTGTAGGAAGTATGTTTTTATGTTTGTGGGTTTGGGGTTTTTTTGCGTCCGTTGTCTTGTAAATAACTTGACTAGCTTGCATGATTATTTTTCTTCTTTTTTTTCCTTTTCCTTTTTTTTTTAACCATCCTGTTTCTTTTTAAGCCAATCTCCATCTGCTGCCTGGATGGGTGGATTTGGTGCTCAACCTGCCCAGGGACAAGGTGCTCCTGTAATACCTAACCAAGCTGGATATGGTATGGCAAGCTACCAAACACAGTGAGCTGGGACTCTGTTTAAAAGTGTGTATTTCATGATAGGCTGCAGTTTCCAGTGACATTCTGAAGACTGGAATGTAGACAATGAAAAAAGAAAATATTTATTTTAAAAATGGAAATGTTTGGAACCTTTAGCACAGCTTTGCTTTGGTGAAGGACACAAATGTCTTCTAGTTCTGCCTTTTTAAGTTTTTGTTCATGATGGATATGAACATGTTTTTCTTTGTGTACAAAAATTAAAAATAAAGTCAATAAAGACAATTCTGACTACAAATTTTGATATAGTAGGAGAAATGGCTAATGAATTTGATCCTTAGGTTACCATTCCATTTTTTTGTTCTGTCTTCAGTGTTTTATATCACTGTGCTTTTTAAGAGAGATGACGTTGAAAAACAGCAAGTTACTTTTAATTGAACACACATCCTGAAATAAACTGTGGACCAATCATTACAACCTGCTAGACAGTATTGATTTTTCAACAAACCTATGGGCATAGCTCAGAAAGTATAGGTAGGTCTCGGAATGATTTTTTTAAAAAATATTTAATTTTTCTACATGCATAAAGAAAACAGTCTGATACAAAGAATAGTTCAGTCTAAAATGAAGAACAGTACTGTCTGAGTAATTTCACATAACTTTTACTGTCCACATTCAGGCACATGTTAAAACTTTTCAGAGCTGGTTTGCTTATTAAGACTGTAGTAATTTGCATTTAATTTTGAGAAGTAAAAACATTTTTGCAAGTATGTTGTTTGTATTCAAATCAGACAGTCATACTTGTGCTTTTACATAAAGTTTGAAGGCTACACATTGTAAATATTTCATAATTACAGTGTTTCAAAAAGCATGCTCAAACATAGAAGTAGCAATGTAATTATTCAAAGTAATACTTAATATACTCTACTGCTCTAAATGCAGTAGATTGACAAGAATGTGCAAGACTGACATTTCCAAAGTTGGCTATTATGTAAAGTTACATAAAGAACTATAACAAAGAGCCTTAATTTTAATTTCATAAATCTTTAATGCATCACGTTTTTGTCATTAGAAATACGAATTTTTTGCTTTACATTATTTGGTATGTAAATACCTTGGTTAACAACCTTGTAAACCTATTTCAAGGTTATTATAAGTTGTATAGTATCTTGAGTGTTTTGAAAAATCTTGATGTTTTTTAAGTCTAGAAATATTTTGCCCAAGAATTTTTTAACAAGATTGTTAAAAACATCTTATTTTAGAGAATATTCAATGTGCCATTTGGTAAATGGAGATGCAGTTGAAACAGTACACTGAGTTGTGACTTATTTTTAATTAAAGTTTTTGTCTTTATGGGTGGTTTGCATGTGATGAACCTGTACAGAGGCTGGGTTGTTTGTGTACTGAGTGTGTAAATGGATAAATCATGAAGATGTTTAAATGGTATACTTGGGTTATTTCTGAATTATTTTATGGATACATTGATATAAACTGCCTCAATAAATTTGAAGTTGAAAATGAATGTAAGTTAGATACAAGTACTGTCTCTTACCTGTGACAGCTAGGGGGTGCAAATGTTTCAGCTGTATACTGAAATACACTGAGGCAGGCACAATTAAAAAAAAAAAAGTAGGATTTGCAGTGATAGTTCAGTGAAGCAAACTTGCATTTTAAAAGAAACGGAATGTTTGATTTTAGAGACAATAGTTCTAAATGAGTGTCTGAGAAGCTGCATATTTTATCTTTTCTGTTTCTTACCGTGCAGGTGTTGCGAGTTAGAATAGATTTTGAAATGGAAACTTGCAGTTTTGTTAAACCCAGCCAGGTTGTGCAAATAACTACACTTAATGCTGTAGCAAATCACATGAGGTTTTTTCCTCCTCTTCTACTTGACATGCTAAATAGACTTTTAGATCAGGTTGAAAGTGAAATATACTGGAAGAGCAATTTAGTCAGTTGACTCAACTGTACCCAGAGATACTTGTAACTCTGGACATCTAATGCATGCAATAATGACTGAAGTTAGCGTGGAACCATAAGTGCTTGTGATGACAGAATTGGCCCTTTATCTCTGTTTCTCCTTTATGGTACACGTAGCGTTTTTCCGCTCAAGTTAGGAATCTTGTCTACAGGACTTCAGTTTTTCTATAAATTTTGTATATATGTGTATATTTACGCGAGGATCGGCCTATACATAGTAGTTTGGGGAAAAAAAAAAAATCACAAGTCTGCATTTTTGTTACACTTATCCGGCTTAAAAAAAAAGTCATGAGTTAGTAGATATATGAATTGCAAGTTACTTTAGGATTTCTTAGACTTCACTTGAAATCTGGGGTTTCTACATAATTCTAGGTGTTTGACATATTATGGATGCATGCTGGTATGTAAGCAGTATGTTCTTTAGGCGCTACTGAAGATTTAGATGATGCAAGTACATTGCCACATAAATGCCCATATAAATGGGTGTAAGATTAAGGCAGTGATCTTTCAGGTCTTAATGTGTAGATAACCTTAAATTCAATTATTTAATATGCCTGCTGTTGAGCTGGGCCATACCTGACCTGTGTTTCAGGATGAAAGATAGGATATACTTTCTCATTTAAGTCTTTTGTCATTGATTTTTGTACAGCTTTTCTTTAACAGTGATATTTCTTCGCAGACTGCTCAAGTTATGGGAGTCTCCAGTGTCCTTTAATGTTTCTATAGCATTGCAAGGAAGAGTTGTAATTTGGATTGCTTTCTACCCAGTAGCGATCATAAATGCATCACTGACAATTTTTTGGCACCAAAGAGCCTCTTGCACCATACTGCTTTTATGAGTGACTGTTACACTGTTGTAATTTCTCCAACTACAGAAATCAACCACTACCTAACCCCCCCTTACCACTAGGATTTGGATTTCAAAACGTATTGATTTCTCATGGCTTAAGATGCGTGCAACCTGAAGCAAGGTTGTAATCTGCATTTGCAGAAAATGTTCAATAAAAGTGAAACATGATAAAGGGCTTATCCTGTATTGTCATCTGTCAGAACATTGTCCCTCTTCGCTGTAAAACTGACAACAGGCGTACGAGGCTGAACTTGTAAACTATGCACTTGCAATCATGTAGAAGATGTTTTATTTAAAATTTTTCATACAAAAGCATTTTGTATTTTGCAGAGTTGCAGTAGTAAGGCTGTAAATCTAAGGTTTCGTGTAACTTTTTTTAAGTCCTGCCTCCTTGTGTATCTTTTTTAACAGTTTTCAGATGTACTCTTCCTGCAGAACCTTCTTCCGTACTAAGATAACTTCATGAGACAGCTATTTGCTGTATCAGAACCATTTCCTTCACTTCACTAGCTAAAGAAGTCTCACAGTGAATAAGGCTTAGTTTTGCAGAAAATTAGCTATTTGTTTTTCTTGTGTTTGTACACAAGGAAGCAGACTTAAACTGTTTGGACATGATTAGTGTCTGATACTTCTTAATGATCTGACTGTTTTTGAACAAGGGCACAAGTCTGTTTTAATCATGTGGAAATGTTTCCTGGTCAGCAATAAAAGATTTTGTTGCACTGTTCTTACATTGCAAGATACAGGCAATCTTTTATTCAGTATACATCCAAAAAAATGGATGGGGTTTGTAAAGAACTGCCTTGTTCCAACTTGAATCTTCATATATAGATACAGTTTGGGATCTGGATTGCTGCTGTAATAGCAAAAGGAAGTCGTTCTTTTGAAACTGAGTGAGAATTTATTTGTTCACATCATATGTGATGCCTGTTCAACATAGGTAGATTAAGGGTTTCACTATGTAATAATGTTTCTGTTCATAAAAAGGCAACTGCAAAGCAATAGCTGCTGGGAAGGTCTGTGTTGTGTTTCATTTCAGCCAACTTTCGTGAATCCAGTTGATTTTTTTTTTTTTTAATTTTAAAAGATATTTATGTTTTTCAGTATCACATGGGTAAAATCCCCATCCCCCCCTTTACCATCACTTCAAAGAAAACGCTGAAATGTTTACTGAATGTTTTACTTTAAAAAGAAGCAGGACTTGATGAGTGAACACTGATGCTGTCATCTTTCTGGGGATGTATGCTGATCTATATCATGGATGTGAATGACATGCTCTGCTTGCTGCCATTTAAGGAGTAATGTCTCAAAGTTAATTTGACATCAGTAAAGATTAATTGAATACAAGTTGCTTAAATACACAGCCACTCATGCTTTGATTAAAGCTGATCTGGATCTTTGTGGTTATTAAAGTATTCCTGATGTGCTGTGGGAAGAAACATTGCTTTACCTTGTATCTTAGTATTCAAAAGCTGTCAATGAGACATCAGAGTAGCATAGACAGTATTTTTTTGTTTAAATGAAAAACACTTAGTGGAGTTGTGTCAGGGAATTCAGTGTAAGCTGACTTTCCTGTAGTGATGGATGATAGCATTTGAGTAGTTCCCTTTTGAAAACAAGGGATCAGCCACTATTTGTTGCATGAACCCAGGTTCTCACTGATCCCAGATACTCAGCAGCTGTCTTTCCCAGCTGCTTGCAGGGAAGGGAGGAGGAGGAGGAAAGGGAAAAATGGTGAGACGGGGTGGTACGCATGCCAGACTAACCTGCATGATGCAGCAGCATCAGTGCCAAGTCATGTTGTCAGATGCATTTAAAATCATGACAGGCTTACGCAGATACCGCAGCAGTATCCAAAGGATTGTGACTCTTCAGATACAAACTTGCTTTATGTCCTTGCTCAAAATAATGGTGCTTTAAAATTACAAAAATAGAAAACTCAAAACCTTTGGCCATTTGCTTTTTGGTTCCTGAGAAAATAGGTGCACATTGAACAGCCAAGCTAGAATACCTAAGTCTTGACTAAACAAATAAAGAAAACTTAAAGTAGCAAACTGTGTTAAGCATCTGAACTTGTAGACCTTTGCTTAACCTAGACCTCTTGGCTTGGCATTCTATTGTTTGCTTGTATTGACCCTTTTGTTTGTACAATTGAAGTAGCTTGAGATATGCACAGCTGCTTGTTGGATGTTGTTTTACTCTTTAAATGTATAATTCCTGGAGCAGGGGTGGGTGGGAATTGAGTAAGAATCGCAAGTCTACCACATGAAACATAGAATAACGCGTATGTTTCCTAGGTGGAAGTTGACTTACTAGAGCCAACTCTGTAGAAGTTTAAATATCACAGGTGATGATGAAAAGCTGCCATCTTCCATTTGAGTAGCTTGTTCTTTGACCTTAATAAACAGAAAATGATTATTTGGGTGCTGTTCCATGAAAGATGCTCTTTGTGGTTTCTTTGGTCCTTT